TTCCAAGTCATTAGAACACCTCTATTTTCTATTCATATAAGTATTAGCATTTTCATGAATGAAAATAAGGGAACCCATATTGTGTTGTCAGTATTGTATACTTATATTATATTTCGTCGGCATGATTATCACTATTTTTCTTGTTTATTAGGTAACTATGGTATTTCTCTTCGTGTTCCTATCTTTATTTTTCATGTCAGTATAGCAAGCCTAAAGTTCTTATCACTTTTAACCGAGGCCCCGTGTGCTACAGGCTAAAGATCCCTCGACAGTTGGAAATCGAAAAAGAGCATGCTAATGCCGCTGTCCTGGCAAATTTTCCCTCATTGCACCCTGCATGGCGTTGTACGACTTCATTAGCCCACATGGTGCAGAAAAGTAGGACGTAAAACTCCATTAATTTCTTATCACTTTTGTAGTCATTGTGCTTATTACCTGTTTCAGGGCGGCCATCTTTTTTTATCTTTCAAAGTCATCTTTGTATTCATTAATTAGCTGCTAAATTTAATTGAATCAGTAAAATCATTTGTTTTATGTATCAAAATATGTATTTGTATGTTACAGATCATATCTAGTTAATTTTTTAGTTGAGGTATGGGTTCTTTATTTTATAATATTAGTTCAAAGTGTTACACTTGTCACATTTTCTGACCAGTCAATAAGTTTTCCAGCATTGATTTAAATATAGGTAGTAATGTGTGTATATCAGTCAGATGTTTTATCTTGTCAAAACAAGTCCGTGTTCTTTAAAAGATTTAGACCACACTGGGGTTAGTGAATAAATTTCTGTGATAAAAAGTGATATTAATTCAAAGTGTTACACTTGTCACATTTTCTGACCAGTCAATAAGTTTTCCAGCATTGATTTAAATATAGGTAGTATCTTCAGTTGTTTTAACTTAATAATACACATTAGTGTAGAATAGTAAATTTAGACTGAACTGGATAGTGATTATTAAATTTCTGTGATAAAAAGTAAGTAAGGATTTTAATGTTTGTTGGTGACGATAAGAATCGTCTCGACACATATTTGTAACATCAATGTCAAATGCTCTATATTTCTATGTAAACTTTGAAAATATATTGTTTTATTTCTTTGATCTCTGGTGCGTTTTTGTAAAGAGTAATCTCCCTTGAGATAAGTGGCTACCCTGTAATACCAGTCTAAATACAGGCAGTCATAATTTCATTGGTGGTTTATCTTTGAATGGAAGGCATGTTGGAAAACTCAGTCCCCAACAGAACCCTTTAAATGCTCATGATGCCATGAAGTGTGCTATGAGGGAAAATAGTCTTCACTACAAATGGGGGTTGATTAATGTATTGATTTGATTAGATTCTACACTATTGATTACAGCCAATCAGAGCCCCTAGACAGAAATACAAAACAATTTGGCTTGGAAGTTAACCAGGAATATTGGTTACAACAGATAATAATAGCTTGACATTGTGAAGGTGATATATTCATAGTCATAGTCACAAATTCAATACAATATAAAACAAAGTTTATTTTCATAACCAAAAACAAAATGGACATTTTATATTTCTCATTAAATTTTTACTGGTTTCAAATACAGAATATATTATCTCTCGGAACATAAAATGTAACGGAGAACATCACCTAGAACACTAGAAATCGTCAAATATAATTCATATAACCTTTCAACATTTCTTTAATTGTATTGAGGCCACTTCTTTAATTTTAAGAATCTGATTAACACAATTAGAAATCATCAATTTTGTTTCTTTTCTTTAATTTGTAAGGAGGCCAATTATTCAATAGGTATCTAAGATGGACTTTTAAGAATCAGACTGATATAACTAATTTAATATAGTAAATACTAAGATTATTGGATTAATAAAATCTTAGTTTTGAAGGGAACAAACCCCAAATTGATTAAATGCAAGAGAGTGAACTCATCATGAAACACCTGACAATTTGTCAATAATGTTTATAATTGAACAGAGTACAAAGATATGAAGACAACCTCAGAAAAGTTTCAAAACACCAACAAAAGGTTTGTTTTCTGTTTCCTGGCAGTAGTATTAATAGAAGTGACAATGTCAAACTTTCAGCTGCCCTTTCTGAGAGTTACCAAAAGTTAAGAAATCATTTTTTGTTCTATTTTTTGCCTTACCTAAAAGGACATTGCTGGATAAGATGTCTATGTTTAAATTAAATATTCCAAATTCAGTTCAACAATATAACAATCACCAAAAAACATGGAGCACCAAATTACAGAGAAGTTGATATTTGCCATATGAATGGCAGTTTTATTCCATGAAATACAACTGATGGTATCGGTCTTGTGTTCCTAAGACACCAAAGTACACCGGAGAAATAGAATGGAACACACAACGATGGGGAATAACATGAGAAACAATGGCTGAAATCTGGACGTAGCTCATTGGAATCAGTTTCATTCAAACCTACGTGAAACTGTTGATAAACCAACATGACTACAGATATCCATAAAAACAAAATGTCTTGATCAGAAATGATAGTTCGCTGACACTCAAAACAGTTCATCATTTCATATCAGATGCAATTAGTCTTGCTTTCAAACAAGCGTTTTAAGTTCCAAAATGGACATCTTTTTCCAACAAAGTATAACAGTTTCCAATAAATTTTTCGGTTAAAATTCTTGACAAATTAGAGTATTCGTCTGGTATCTATACACTTCCAGATTTCAGTTCCCAACTGGTACAAGTATCACAGATAGAACTCAACAAGCTACTTAGTTTCGGAACTTTTAGTTTTTTCACCTTCCCCGTTTTCTTTTTTATCGTCTTTCACTGATAAATCCTCTAATTTTTCCGCAACTTTTTCAGTGTCTTTTTCCGATTTATCATTTGTTTTCGCGTCTGTTTCTTTCTCTGTGGATTTCTGCGGGCTGTCACCAGCATCTACAATGAAAATTGAGATTAGTGCTGGCATAATTTTTCAGTGAATATCATATCTGCAATTTCAAATATGATGTAATTTGGCCAACACATGAGCACCAGAGGTGCGAAATTGAGAAAGGGGTCATCGAATTTTTACAGAATATTAAGCCTGTTAGCGCAATTTCCAGCAATTTGAGACAAGGAAAGGAGGTCCTTCCCGAGGAGTTTTAAAAAATTTTCACAAAAAATATAAATTTTAAAAGTTTTCAGACAGGTCCGTAACAAGAAAAGTGCTTTGCAACCTAAGTTGGGGTCATGAGCCAGAGGATGGAAATCCAGTATATACAGTAATCATTGAAACTTGATACATAAGGTACTCTTATTTCTTGGAATTAATGTCTTTTTACTGTAAAATGATTTCCTTCTAGTCTTACCCTTCGATTTTATCTCTCTCATGATTTCTTTACATTCATCAAATTTACTTTTAAATTTCTGAGCATCTACAAAAAAATAAGTCAATAAAAATCTATACAAGCAGAAATTCCGTTCATCAAAATCTTGTCCCAATATATGGCAAATCAAGAGCAAAAGTTGTATAGTAGTGGACTCCTCCAAAGAGAAGTACCATGAGGTGCTTCGGAAAGAGCAGGCATGGTCTGCTTCAAGTGGGACACCCACCAGTACTATATAGGTCAACATCATGAGATACAACAAGCTACCTGCATTAAGATTTGTTTCAAGCGTGGAATTCTTCATAGTGAAATACTATAGCAGAACAGACAAAATCATTTCAAATCAGTGAAAAAATCTATCAGAATATCGACGATCATCAATATATCAGACCGCCCGTCGAAAATAATTCATCCTCTAGATTGCAGCACATTAATTTAACTTATTACTGAAAATATCAAAGCAAATCTAACCTCTACAAAATATACCTATATGAGTGCCACCTTAGCAAAGTGTCCCGGTGGCTATAAACAACAAAACACAAAGACAAGAAGTCGTGTCTTGTGAGATGATACACATAAAATAATATTGTAGAAAACAATCGAACTTACTTTCTGCGTTGGCAAATCTGATGGCTAATAATTCTGCTTTTGGTTCCTCGTCTGCGAAATCTGCTGTAGTTGACCACACCCAGGCTCTGTCACTGCCACAATTTGGTTTTAACTCCATGGCAGGAGACACTGAAATATAAAAATAGGTCATAAGTTGATGATTTCATATTTAGTGAGAAGGGTTGAAAGCCAACATCCAACTGGCTTTTAAAAACGCTTGTGGTATCAGAATTTTTCTACCTTGAGGATGATTTCGTCTGGTCTCCACTTCACTTCATTGCCTTACAGACGACAGTAATTAAACACACAACTAAGCTATAATAGTGCCAAGTAGGAAGTGTAGAAAATTTACATCTTTAATTTATGAAGTAGTTCTCTCAGAATTTCGACACTCATCAGTAGATCAGTCCGCCCTTCGAAACTAAATCATCACAGAGAACACTCCCTCTCGTACAAAAAACATGTTTCAAGAAGCAAAGATCAGTGATTTTTCAACACCAATTGACTAGACCACATCTCATTCTGTGGACACAGGATTCTGGACAGACAGACAGTTTTGAAAAAGGTGCAAACATATAGCACTTATATATAAACGCATAATCACAAGTTTTGGATATGAATTCCTCGTCAGGACAGTTACTGAATAAAATATCTCTCAGAATTTCGACCATCATCAGTGGATCAGTCCGCCCGTCGAAATTAAGTCATCATAGAGAAAAGCTTAGAGGAAATCAAGGAATTTTAATACGCTAGTAGATACACAGCCAACTCTACAAGTTCATGAGCTGCATTCTGTAAGCATCATTAAAATCAGTTGATGTAGTCTCTTTTGTGTTCATGCATCAATATCAACATAAGTAAATGGCAGTAACTAAAAAACCACTCATTTACAAATGACCTACAAGCTCAAAGCCACTCAACAGACAGATATCCGACAGAATTTTTGACAATAGATTCACACAATTAAACCAGGGCTGTTGATGAATCTCTATTTGCCAGTCAAGTTTGATTGAAGCTCCAAAATGACTGCAATTTTGATCTTTCTTGTTAAAATATCCGGTTTGGAATTTCCTATATCAACAACTGCTGCACCAACATTAACCCTACATTAACCTTATCATTAACTCCAAGGTAAAAATATTATGATGTCTGTGCTTTAAGAGAGTCTACCCCGTGCCTGCTTCCACCCCCAACACCTACAGAGGTGACAACAGTGAATTAACATTATATTGTGGGGGACAACTTACCGTAATGATTGGCACATATTTTTAATGTTTTATCTCTCCTCATTAATATTCGAATCAGACCAGTTTTCTTGTGTTTTAAAAATTTGATATCGCCAGTTCCTCTTTCTTTCCACTCTGGAGATTCTGAGTTACTGTCGAAGCGAAATAATTTGGCCCGGCTGAAAAAGACAAGTTACAATAGAAATGAGTGTCGACTGGCAGTGTCCAATGAGGGAAATTTTCACAGGAGAATCAGCCTTGTCGACTAATAGCCCTAATTTATAATCATATCTTTGCATGGATAATTTTTTTCCATAGAAAACTTAGCCAATATAACAGTCCTGTTTTCATTCTGGAGATTTTGAGATTAGACGCAAAGATTTAAAAACTTTTAAGCTACCAATTCAAACGAACATTTCATACAGTGCTTTGCTATCACCCTTTCTGAACTTGATTGGGCTTACAAAAACAGGCAAAAACTATGTAGTAAGATTTGTACAAAGACAGCCACATTAGCCTACGTTTCATTTGATTTATAACTATCCAGAGATCTCAAAAGGAGCTTAAAAGTGTCCAGTTCCCATCCTAATAACAGGAGCCTTTTTTAGGCCTTGATAACAGAAGGGCGGGCTTATAACAAGTACATATGGTAACATACATTTTGAATAAATCTTCTTCATTTTCTTCAAGTGTGACAACCTCTACAGCTGGAAGGGAGATAACTGGTTCAAAATGGGCTGTACACGTTTCTTCATCTTGAGCTGAAGCCCCGTTACTCGTACTTGAGGGATTGTCTGTTGGTTCTTCTGTTGGATTGATTTTCTGCAAAATATTAAAAATATATAAAATAGGCTAGCCTATTATCTGGATAATATATAAACAGTTTGCTGAGCTCCTATGAATTTATAATAGGAGATTGCTAACACATTTACTACAAGTATCTTTAAGCCCAATGCTCTTCATTCATGTACTTTGTAAGCTTTAAGTTTCATTTTCCTCAAATAGAAAAATTTCATGGCATGCTGTCAATGATCATTGATAGCAAGCAGAAGACAGAATGCTTTTCCAAATCAAATACAAAAGAAGCGAACAAATCATAACGAAATGAACATTTTATGTTCATAAAGAGAGGGTTTCAAAGGATTTCTTTTGTCACGCACTTCACTATGCCCTGAAACAACAAAAATGGCGCACGAAACCAATCTAATAGGTACATTTACAATCCTTGACAGACTTTTGAAATATCGATGTCCAGATTTTCACCCAAATTACCTCGACTTCTGCCATTGTGAACCTTGATGTAATTAGATTTAAATTCTGTCGTAATTTATCAATGTTGTGAAACCATTACACAGTTGTTCCCGCTGAATCACCAATTTAAGAGTTTAGTTTCGAATTTTTTGAATTTTAACAAAATATCATAAAATACTTCTCTATGATCAAATTTGTGACACAGATATATTTTGATGTCATGTTTGAGATTGAGTTTTGAAATTTCACTACAAGTTTGGCTCCCTTTCGAAATTTTATTGAAATAATTTTAAATGTTTTAGTTTCGAATTCAAGATGTCTGCGCCCATGAGTTCACATTTTTAGATGGAATTACAGTAAGTGTAATCATACTGAAACTGGTTATTGACAATCTAAATCAGCATTCACAAGTAAGTTATAGCAAAGCAATTTATTTTCAGATAATGTCACTTGCTCCTCAAATTGGAAACGCCACATCTTGAAGTTCCTTACCGGAAAGTGAAGAGAGAGAGAGGGGTGGGGGGTCTGGTGTTAGTGTTGATAGGTAATGGAGGCGAACCTTGAATGCATAGTGTCAACAGTTAGACCCATGGCCATCAGCTTTTGTTATTGAATTCTACCACTCACTTTGTTTGCTGTATGAAAAAATGATTTCCCCGTTCAGAAACAGCAACAGTGCCCCTTTTCCTTGGGATCTTGTTCCATGCAAACAAATTTTTAAAAAGGGGTAAGATTTGACATGAAAATATTTGTTCCAAATCCAGGATATTTCTATGTAGGGCTGTATTCGTTGTCTTTTTTGTTTATTAGAAGATTCAAAATGGAAGGAAAAGAAGCTACAGAAAATTCAGCAATAGCCCTTGAACCAGATGAGACAGAGGCAGAGAATACTGGTGCTGCTGTGATGGATCAAGACACTAAGTTGGGGGAATCTATAGATCCTTTTCATTATTTAAAAACAGACGAGTTTACTTCAGAGATTTATAAAATAGAGATTTATAATTTACCCCGAAAATTTGGATTTGCTGTAAGAATATTTTAATCAATAATTATTTACATTCTCTAGTACAATTCAACAGTGAGCTCAGAATTAAAAGTTTGTCATATCACAAATATTTAAAATATATATAATTTTCAATTGAATGCAAATATAAGGCTTGATATAGCACAGTACGTCATTTGCTTGGTTAAGTCGAGCAATTGGTGGCAGTGAGTTCTGTTTTTGATTCGCGTGTGAAAGTCAGTTGATCTTTCGCATCCTTGTAATATATAGCTGTTCCTTTCTTTTTTTTATTGTGTATCTTGGGGAAAAATTCTGTCCAATAATTAACAAACAATTGTATCATAGCAACTGACTGACAACTGATGTCTATTTGTTTATTGAATAGCTATCTAAGTGTTATCATATATTTTCAGCAATTGAAGAAACGACTGAATGGAACTTTAGGATTAAAATGTCATAAAATCAACAATCCACAGGCTAAAGCAGCTTTTGTCACTTTCAGGTGAGGGGTTGAGTTATATAAAAGATTAAATCGAGCTGATAATGTTGTGTATAACATATTTTCTTTATGAATATAGAAAAAAAGAAAAATAGATCATGTCTTAAGAATCAAGTTTGGTATATTAAAGGCACAGAGTGTAAAAAATAATATAGGAAAAATAGTGTGATAATCAGAATAAGAGAAAATATATAAACTTAGAAATAGGTGAATATCTAATGCTTACTCTTTTTTGTATAATCTTAGATGTGAGGAAGACAGAGAAGAAGCTTTAAAGAAAATCAACGAACATGTGTGGAAGGGACAAAAATTATCAGCCAAGGTAGATACAGTATGAATTCCGATGTTCAACTCACTGCACTAACATAAATGTGATATGAAATGATCAATATTTCACTTAAATAATTTATCTGCTCTACGATTATCTGATTTTATTTGTATTATTGTTTTATCATCACTATAGGTTGCCAAGCCAAGAGCAGATCCTTTGTTAAGAAAGAGAAAACAGGAAAAAGGTAAACAAATTCTCTTCAATTTCATCATAACCTAGCAAGCAAAAGTTAAATATCAAAAGTCTTCTATAACTTTGCTCAAAAATATCTATTGGTCCTATTAGAGGGCTTATGTTGACCGTTGTTTCCTTTATTTATAGAATCTTCTAAAATTAACAAGTCATTCTGATAGGACAATAAACCAAGGCCCTCAGTTAAAAGTTTCCTTTATTGCACACTTGCATGGTGTTGGTTGGCCCTCTTCATTAGCCTAATCAAGAAGAAAGAGTTAGAAAGTAAAACTGTTTAATTCTCAATCTTTATGGTCTCAGACTGAAAATTATTTTATTTCTGTAGCCCAAGTAAATGATGGTATATCCAGTGAGAAGAGAAGTAAAAATGAATTAGAAGAGGATGAAATACCTCCACATATCAGGTAAAATAATTTACAAATAGTTTTTGTATGTGAAGAAGTGATTAATTGATTGGAATTGAAGTTTTTACAGTGATAATTTGGTCAAAAATGAAGATTTTTATGTTATAGATTACGTCAAGCTAATTGTAATATTTAAAGCTTGCTGACGGGTGTATGACTTTCAAACGAGAGTGCCTCCTTATGTTAGTTGTAGTTGGTTTTGCCCTAATATTGTGAAGATGGCCAATATTTGTATAGACGTTTACCATAGATTGTTTTATTTCAGAATAAAGAACAGTGTTACTCCATATTGGAATGTGGATTACGAGGAACAATTAAAGGTAGGCAACTCTTATCTGGGTGAATCTAAAATAATTATTGTGAACTTCGTAAGAGTTTGTTAATACAATATAATCATAAGTAACTATGTGGACTCTCTGAAAGGGATGTCGAGTTGACAAACTTAAATACCAAATGCCAAATAAACATTATTAGCTATGTGAACTCTCTGAAAGGGATGTCGAGTTGTCAAACCTAAATACTAAATAAACATTATTAGCTATGTGGACTCTCTGAAAGGGATGCTGATTTGAAAAACCCAGTTACAAAGTGAGTCAGATGTTTGAAAATAGTCTAGTTGTCTTCAAAATCTATGAATTATGATGATTTTTCAGAGAAAGACCCAAAGTATAGTAGATGTATTAATTTCTGTTGCTAAGAGACCAGATGTAAAACAGTTATTTGTTAATCAGAGGTAGAGTAGACTGTAAACTTTTTTATAATTATTTGTGGATGTTGGTGGGCTGATTGACAGGAGGCTTTGAAAATTTACATTAAAAATGTTTCCGTCCCGTAAATATAATGTATATTGTAGTTGTTTGCCTCAAGAGAGGTTTATGTCTTATTGACTTGTCTTCTTCTCATTCTGCCAACATATGTTTTGGAAAACAATCTTCATCAGGACAACTTTTTTGTGGAAATGGGATTAACTTTCCAAAATTGGATTTAAGAGATAAAATAAAACATTTGTCTTGTTGTTTTCAGAAAGAAATATAACGAAATGTGCTGTGAATTATTACCCATAATTCCTTCAGTAAGTGACATTTTCTTAATCACATATTTTATTTCGTAAGGCGACTAAAGATTTGTTATTAGTTTATACGGTTTATTTCAAGAAAGGCTGTCAAATCACATTGTTGCCCCCAGATTTGGATTAACCTATAGGCAAACTAGGCAGCTGCCTTTCGGCCCATGACAAATTTTGTAACAGTTGATAAATTTACCCAGGCCCATCGAAAATTGTTCTGTTAGGAGCGTGATGTGTGAGAATCGACTAAATTGTTTGATCCTAATGGTGATGAATGCCGATATCGTGTATACGATTGATGCTGATGAGCTAACTGATCTGTTCCTGAAAAAAAAGATCGCAAACTTCCTGCCATAAAATTGTAATCACACAATGCCCCGTTCGTTTGCCTACGACCCATCATGTCCAAAATCCGCCACTGGTTGCCCCCATGATGAATTTTAGTATAGTATATTTGTATGGATTATGAAAAGGATTAAGGAGCAGACTTTTGCTTATAGCACTAATAATGATTCAATATCAAGGCCCACATAAAAATATTGATTTGAGAAATGGATTATTACTATTTTTATTTCAGCCAGTGATAGAAAAATACAGAAATAAATGTGAATTTTCAATTGGTAAAAATGTCGAGGGAAAAGGTAAAAAAACTAAAATTTGAAATATCCATCATCAACTGCTTTCTTACGCGTCTTGTTCCATAATCTCTCATTAAGACATACAAATCATCAAAGATTTTCAGGTAGTGGGGATTGGGGGAGGTGGTTCACTGTTGTCTGTTGATGGATTTTGTTTCTACCTTATCCTATATTTCAGATAATTGTGTGGGATTTCGTTATGGTCTATATAAAGATGGATTTAGTACAGTTGGAGATATTTCAGATATAGCCTTTCTTCCAGACAGTCTCAAATCTGTTGCCAAGGTAACCATTTTATATTTTTTGCATCTTGTTTTACAATTTTAAATTTTATGCTAAAGAGTTAATTACCTTTTAAGGTTTTACTGAAAGTAGCAAGCTGCCAAAACAAACTTCTGAATTGAAGCAGCGCATTTTGATGAATCGTGATCCTTTCCTTGCCCTAAAATTGTATAAACTTTATATAATGGACAGTAGAAAAATGTGGTGAATCTAAAGTTACCCGGCTTGGGAAGAATTTTGTTGGTTCTTATAACAGCAATACTATTTATGTTTTCATTGCAGTCCTTTGAAGAGTTCCTATCAACCAGTCCCTATAAATCATATCACCAGGGCACACATGAAGGTCATTGGCGCCAGCTGACAGTCCGGGCTACCAGAGCTGGTAGTATCATGATAATTCCTGAATTTTATACTAAAAATATTTCACAGGTATGTGTGACATTGAAACACTCATTTCAAATAACGGGGTGATTTTGATAAATGATCCCTTTATTGTTGTTGTAGAAATTAAGATTCTTTAAGTCAAAAGTTTGGATGCAAGGTCGACTATGGTACCTGCTAAAACAGTTAACAGAATTAAGATAATAAGTTACTCATCACAGCGAATTTTCATGTATATTCGAGCAAAATATATGAACTCATTGTTAACATGAAATAGTGACTAGCTCCGTGTTGTTACCGGAAGTTGTCAAGGGACAAAAGGAAAACTTCCGCTTTGGCCCGGCAGTCGATGAACATGTAGTAGTCGTGTAAGCATGGTCTGACGGCCATCTTGTAATCATCTTTTCATTCATCTGTATGTTTATGTTTGTGATGTCCCCCCGGGTTTTTATGTATTGTCTATCATCATAATAAATATCATCAACCATACATGACTTTTCACTCATCCAAATCTGATTCAATTGGATTGAAGATTAAAATCTGAAACATTTATCTTTATTCCCACCAGGAAGATTTAGAAATAGAAAAGAAAAGATTAGTAGAATTTTATACAGTTGGTGAGGGGAAAACTCAGAATATAAATTCACTCTATTTTACACCATTTCAAAGGTAAGATTAAAACTTTCTTCTTGTTCATCAGATGATAAACATTCCAATTTCAATCACTTCTGGAAAATGACTTTTTTGGTAATACCTTTGTATTTGAATTTTCAGTTTTTGTTTTAATTCTCTTAATTTTTTGGTGCGTTACCTGTATTTTATTTTTTTTCCAGTGGAGAAGGACAGCATATAAAAACTTATGAACATTTATTTGGAGATCAGGTAAAAATATTGAGTTTTTTCCTCCAAATTTCTGTGTTATTTCACAGGGGTTGACAAGTAAAGTCATTAAGTTCTTTGAAGGAAAACTGTGACATACTTTAAGATCCTGCATTTTTAAACTTGCATGATGAAAATTTGAAAGAAACGCTGTTGATTTTTGATATTCAAACTGTTGAATTGATACAAAGGAGATATGAGCATATTTGTAAAATGGATTTTTTGTATATGTTGTAATATTGCCTTCTGTATAATCCGATATTATGTGTTTATTTTGTAGACAATAAAAGAACAGATGTTGAATATGACTTTCCAGATTTCACCTGACGCCTTCTTTCAAGGTTTGTAACAGACCTTAATCTAATTTATAATCTCTCCTCTCCCTGGAATAATTATCAAAGATGAACTCAGGGGCGTTATTCTCCAAAATTTAAGATAATGTAAGTGACCATGTCATCTGATTGGTCAATCAGGGAAATTAATTGTGGTTTATTATCCAATCAGATTACTGTATGACATAAAATCTACTTATGCTAATTTTGATAATTTTGAAACCTTGTAACGTTATATTTGCAGTTAATACGAGTGCCGCGGAAGTTTTATACAATAAAATAGGAGAATGGTGTAATATAAAACCAGACGTTAAAACTACAGTACTTGATATTTGTTGTGGTACTGGAACTATTGGGCTGGCGCTTGCTAAGGTAACGTATGTCAAATAGATGGTAGTAAATATTCTTTAGTAAATACATGTTGTGATTGAGATAGAAAGGGAAATGGAGTATTGAATAATTGTTGTCTTACCAGAACTATGAGCTGGCGTTCACCAATATAACATTTCTTATTGTTCTTACTGTTATCTTCGCTCTTAATAATGTAACATAGTGATTATCTAAGCTGACTTAAAGTTGACTATATATAGACACAGCTTTATAGAACAATAATCACTGGTTAAAGTTTTATACAACGTTTCGACGTGTTTCCCCCGTCGTCCTCAGGAACATAATGAGAAGAAGTGATGGGTAAACTATATATACATTAATGCTTTTTATTAGGAAAACACAAGACATAAAAGGTTTATTAGTGCATCACATTATTTTTTGATAAGAGGTACATAATTCGACTACTTGTGATTATGTATTGAATCTCATATGGATATGGATATAAGTATATTAGTGTTTACAAACAGTTTTGTTTATTTTAGAAAGTAACCAAGGTAATTGGAGTAGAGATGTGTCAACAGGCTATAGACGACGCTAAACAAAATGCTAAATTAAACGGTGAGATAATTGATCTTTTACCTAAAAACTTCTTTGAGATATTCTTGTTGTTGCCAATATCCCTCCATAGTTGAAACTTTCAAATAGAACTGAACTATGTTAATTTTCAGATTTCAAGAAAAAATATTTGAAATAGCTTCTTGTCTTTGACCAATCCTTAGTTATTTACAACGATCAAAATTGTCAAGATTTGTCAGTCATATACTTATTTTTGATTTTAGAAATTAAGAATGTAGAGTATTATTGTTCGAGAGCTGAAGAAGCCATAGTTACCATCATAAAAACAATATGGACACCGAATGTAGTGGCTGTAGTCGACCCTCCTAGAGCTGGTTTACGTAAGTTCTTCAGACTTTTATGTAAGGCAGTTTTCCACGGAACGATTTTTTTCGTGCGAAGCGAAATTTTTCGTTGCAAAATAAAAGTGCTCGACAAATTTTGATTTCCACTGTCATCGAAGATCGACGTTATCGCTATTTTAACGTCCTTGCCCATCAGCGACAAAATGGCGGCATTCAACAAAGCCCTGCTATTAAGCTAGGGTTTATATTAACTAGTTCTAATAATTTTCCAGATTTTGTTTTATTTCCTCTGGATCCAAAGAAATTCGTGGGCCTAGAGTTTTCTGCCATCTTGAACGTCATGACGATATGATGAGCGTCGTGACGATTTTTTTCGCCTCAAGTTCTAGTACTTCTTATCAATACGCATGCGTCTGTACAAAAAGATCTTCCCGTGGGAAACGGCCTTAAGTTTAGTTCTTGCTCCAATAACTTATAGTTATTCAAAAATGCTTATCTGATAGGTATTTGGTGAAGGTGTTCCTACTACTGTAGAAGAATATGACCAAGTAGCGAAACCTGCCAAAATTGTTAATATAGTGAATCCCAAATTCTATAGAGAGTCAATTCAGTGCATGTTGGAAACAAGTGAAGGACACCCCCTGTTTTTATTAGTTTATGTGTTTAATTACAGATAAAACTGTGTTGAGGTCGTTAAGAGTTTGTAGAAGAATTAAAAGATTAATCTATGTATCATGTAGTCCACAATCAGCCAAGGATAACTTTATAGAGTAAGTTTGTTAGTTTGACAATTTCTTTTTCTGAAAACAGATCATGGGTCAAGATCATGGGTCAAGATCATGGCACAACTTGTAATGGAAGTCAGCCTACGACTGTGGTGTTTTGTTTCAAGGAGCACCTACTGTCAAGAGCAAGCAACTCTATCTGGCTAGAATGGAGTAACTCTTGTTGAGAAGTTACAAATTAAGACCACAATATGAGTAACCAGCTGGTAGGATTGTACTCTGCTGCAGTTTGGTTTATTTAGCAGTTAAATACTGAAACAAATTTAAATGTTATGGCCCTGGATTCAGACAATCATTCCCAACCATTGGATAACAAACTTTTTAAATGCAAAATGACAAATATTTTCATTTTTCATTTTTCTCTTCCAGCTTGGTGCGACCACCAACCAAGAAGTTAAAGGGTCAACCGTATAAACTGATCAAAGCCGTGCCTGTCGATTTATTTCCCATGACCCCTCACTGTGAGCTGTTATTACTGTTTGAACGAGATCTGTCACAGACCAACGACAGCAGTGGCTCTGATTTTGAAATGACGTCTGCTGAATCTAAAACTGACTCCTCAAAAAAGGCAGATGCTTCTAATCCGTCTGCTGAGATAACTAAGAAAGACAACTCTAGCGTACAAAGTGTGCCTGCAAATATTGATGACAAGACTGAAAATGTGAAGTCGAAATTGGAGGATGCTGAGCCTATAAAAAATGACAGCAAACCAACAGCCTGAAACCAAGACTGAAATGTGGACAAAAAATCCCGATCGAACAGAGCTACGATACCAGTTTGAAAATAATGAAGGAGTAGTCATCTTCACAATGTCGAGCTATTATGAACTGTGTCTAATACCTTAACTTTAATTGCATCATGGAAGTATGTAATTGAAGCGATGTGATTGGATTGTATACTAGTCTATACAGCCAATCACCGTCTTCATTAGCCCACATGGTGCAGAAAAGTAGGACGTAAAACTCCATTCATTTCATTTCATTTATACAGCCAATCAGAGCCCACAACAGTGCGACAGTAAACAGTTTAGCTGCATGTATAGTCAGAGGCTATGATTGGCTATATTCTCTAGCATACAGTCCAATCAAATTGCTGCATTAACAAACTTGTCAAGATGAGGACATAAGGAGGTGGGTATAAAAAATCAACACAAAATGGTTTATATTAGAAATTTGTTGTATTTGAATAAACAACAGTATATACTACTAGAGTGAAATTACAGTTATGAAACAAAAAGAGGGGGAGGGGAGGGGCGATATGACACACGTAAGCTGGGAAGAAGGAAGGGAGGGGGTACTAACGGATAAAAATGTCTCTAACAAAGCCTATACATGATCTACATACAGCACAAGATATTTTATACAATTCTAATTTACAATAACAGACTAGAGATATGTGGCATATTATTTGAAAATTTCAACCATCATGCCAAAATATTTAGTTTATCTTCAGTAGATGTAACTAACATATGCACTTTTGGCAGGTTTTATTGTTAATTCTTGCAACCTGCCTGCAAACACACCACAATTTCCGCTAAAAAGCTGTCTTTATATAAAATTATAGCACGTTCAGTCGAAGATTAAAAAATATGAGGTTCTGATTGGTTTATACGTTCCTTACAAGGCTAAATTAACCAATCAGATTTCTTGAAATTATCTACTCATGATTATATTAAGTAATGATGTTTATGTCTCTGGATGATAGAGGCTATATAGACATGATTAAAATGATTATACATGTAATATAACTACAGTCAAGCAAAAAATATTTGTGCATATTTGGGTCCAATTCAAAATATAAACATGAGAAGTGCATTATATTTTTAGGTGGTTTAAGTAGTAAAGAACATAATATAGGACTTCCTTGTATAGTTTCAATAACTATGTATTTTACCCTTGAATAAAAGATAATAAGTCTGACTTGTATAGTTTCTATTACTATTTATTTTACTATTTATTTTACCCAAAATTCAAAATAGACTGGTCATATTTATGTTTTGAATCTGACCTCAATGTGTACAAATATTTTTGCTTGAAGAAGAAGAAGAAATATTGTGATAAATACGCAACAAAAACATGCAACAACATAAACTAACGGTCTAACAATCATTTTAAATAGAAAATAGCAACATGGTTTTGTTCAGAACTTATAAATTCTCGACCACTTAATTATTAATTTTTATATCTGTGATTTTCCATCTTCACAATGACAAGCTATTACATGATACAAGTAAGTATAGCGGTTATTGCAGTCAAGGTATAAGTACGAAGTTTGTAATACCTTGATCACTGTGAAGATGGGTGATTTACAAGCTAGATTATTTTTCAGATAAACTGAGTTTAACATCCTAGAGATCTGTCTCGTCATGTAGAAATAAATTGTTCATTGAAAGCAGTAGACTACTTTTCTCAGTATAATAATGTGGTTTCTCATTCTTCAGTGGCTCTCTCACCATAGTGATCACCAATTACTAATGGTTGCGAATAAGAATAGCGTTCATAAATTTAAAACGTAACAACACACATTCAGAACTGATGACCACTTTCATTATTCACAACATTACACAACTAGTAATCACTATGGTGTGAGGGTATCTTTAGTTAAAATACAACTTATTAATAGACTTTGGTTTCTTGAAGAATATATATAATAGAAAGAGGCACAACACTTCAGGCACAATCAAGAGTTACTACCCCTGATTCTCCAAAACTTTGTAATGAGTGAAGGATGACTTAATTTAAATGCCAGTCTTGCTTTGAGAGAGTCAAACCTATACATGAAAGTAGTCCTGTATAGTCCCCACCAGAATCTTCTACAAAGTTTGGGACAAACAAGGCAAAAGTTTAGAAAATTTCATGCAAAAAAAAAAAGTTATTTAGGACATGCAGAGAGTAGAATAAATACACATAATACAGTATTGTTACTATAGTTACTAGAGATAATGATGCAAATCTTGGTCCAATTTAAAACACAACCAGTCCATTCTATTTTGAGGTAGAATAAATAGTAATAGAAATTATACAAGTTAAATTTATATTGTGTTCTTTACTACTTACTCTACCTAAAATAAAATGGACGGCTCCTATTACCGTTTTGAATGGTACCAAGATATACACAAATATCTTATAGTTGATACATTGGTACTAAAGTTTAATTAGGTCATTTCAAATATTGGAGATTCAGGGGTGTATTCTGTTACAGCCTTCCAAAGAACATTGCTTCTTCTTGAGACTTGTTTGCTTCTAGGTTTTATCGAAAAATTTTGCAGGTATTCATGGCAGAAACACAAAAGAATTTTCCAATATTATATTCCAAGATGCACATTCTTTATAGCACTTTCACAAATTACACAAAATTTCATGCAGCTATCCAAAATTGTTTTTCACAAACGACTCTAAACATAACTTCATGCCACTTTCCAAATTCATTTTTTACAAACGCAACTTCATGCAGTTTTTCCAAACGCACTTTCACTGTGCAATTCTTTACAAATCCCAGCAAGCAGTTGGTATATATATAGTTTAATAAATAGAGCAATATGCCTATGGTTTCTAACGGAATACAAATCTACGATATATGCATAGACATGTATATGATGCATCACTGCCCTGTTTCCCAACCTCAGGGTCCCAGTCAACACCACAGAGGGTAAAATAGTGTTAAATTTCAATATAAATGGAAGATTCAGACCTCTGTCAACTGTACTAACAATTCAGAACTTTTGGTGACAGGTTGAAGAGGTATCAGGCCACATGTTCTCAAAACAATCTTAGCGATAGGATGTTCTAGGTTCTTAACTTTTAACACTGTTTCTAGGATATCCTAGAGCTAAGATAGTTTCGAGAATACACAGCTGGGAACCAGGGCATAGGGCATAGCATATAGCATAGCATGCACAGTAAATAAGATACACAATGGTTTAATATATCGTCACAAAAACATTCTATTTTGAGACGAAAAATGGATTTCTTTAATATGATGATTTACAAATTTGACACGATTATGACTTTTAAAAATTTTACATTTGGAGCAAATCAAGAAGTGGGGAAGCTGAAACGCATGTTTGATTAAAGTATGGGTTCATACATGTTGAAGCTAATGCTTATTGAGCCTCATCTTCATAATGTCAAGCTATTACTTCATACTTATACCTTGACTGCAACAGCCATTGTCTTGTATCATTGAATGCAAGGATTGGATTTTTTCACCAGCGAAAACAGCCAATCAGAGTTCTAGACAGAAAGGCTGTAAACATTATGGCTTTGCGTTCACTGACTGTCTGTCGAGGCCTCTGATTGGCTGTATTCACTTACATACAATCCAATCAAATTGCTACATTTACAAACTTCCATGATACAAGACAATGGCTGTTGCAGTCAAGGTATAAGTAAGAAGTTTGTAATAGCTTGACATTATGAAGATAATAGAGCCTAGCCTTTTTTTAAAGAGGGGACGTGACCGCCCTAGACTTCTGACTCCGGTTGGCTGGCAAAAAAGTTAAATAACTATAATCCTTAAACAAAAAATTAATTAAAGCTTAACACAAGCTGATATACTTAATAAAAACTTTTATAATGCCGTATAGATTCAGATTATAACGAAGGACTGCAATGCTCCAAATTTGAAATTTTACACTTGAAAAGAAAAGGATGGGGCTGGGAGGAGAAAGGGTTTCGTTTGGTGAATAAAAATTAATTTAGTTATATATAATATTATACATGGTTGAAATTATTTGATTTCTGTCTTGAATCGGCAAAAACGCCAACGAATCAGATTAGAAAACGTCATGGCATGATACCAATGTCAAGGAAAGAAATTCAAATCAAATCAAAATGAACGCATCATTGAAATAACGTCACGAGTTGCTTGGCCGCCTTGGCGACGTCGTAAGCACATTGTATAACTTGTGTTGTTGATTGTTTGGAATCAGACGCGAGATGTTGGCACTCTATACGAAGTCTGTTGGCACTGTCTTTGAGCAACTGTAACGAATGAAACACTTCCTCTTTTGGGATATTCTGAAACAAAGTAAAGTAGAATAAAGAAATAAGGATCACCCAGCATAAAGTTTCAATTTGTCTTATATTTCTAGGAAGTAGACAAGAAAAAAGCTGTCATTCAACATGGTCAAAATGTAATATTTAATCTAATAATTTAAGAATACACAATATAACTGTATGTATGAATAATTTTACCAACCCAACACCAAACAATATGTGCTATGTAAACTCTCTTAAAGAGATACTAAGTTGATAAACCCAGTAAGTGGTGTAGCTAGGATTTCATTGATAAGAGGGTTAGGGGACATCCTAGCACCCTGACGTCCCTTTGCGAATAAAAATGGTACTAGTCATGGTGGTAATGAAGTCAGTAATGAGAAAATTACCCTGGGAAATAAAGCTTCCATTTCTGTCACGGCCATAAATATTCTATCTGAACACGGATTATAACTGAAAATAAACAAAGTATTATTTACATTTAAATTCAAATAGAAATAATTAGTAAAAGGTTGGATGAAGCTCCCATATACCACAGGCTCGGTATGTTTAATATCCCTATTTAACTTCATTTATAAGATTGAACCTGCATCGCGTCAAACTTGGTCTTCATCACTCAATTTTTTTTGGTCCAAGATTTTTTTTAAGTGACTATATTTCAATATATCAAGATCTCGATCTAATCAAAGTAATCCATCCATACCTAGGTCACAAGTAGAAAACAACAAACAAACCTTTTGATGTCACCTTCTTGTGCCCTTTTTAATAAATCTTGAATACGTTTGGTGATTTTCTCGGTTTTTTTCACAACTTCTTCTGGTTCGGGTAAATCAACAGGAACCCCTACAGCGCCACCTGGCATGCTGTGTGTACTCGATACAGAATCCATCATTACCGAGGGTATTCCTCTGAAAATATAAAATTATCTAAATAGGTGAACAAAAAATGAAAAAAGAAATGGTTTGATTAAAAATCATCCACAGAAAAAGCAAGTGCTATTAATTGTTTGATTGTCAAGTAGGAATAGGAAAGCCAATGTGACGAAACCTTGTAGCATGAGGTTTTAAATAGGAGAAAGCTAGCTGTAATTATTATAGTTTAATTTCTATTTGATATAGGTTGTTGTACTCAGACTGAAAAGTTTAAAATCATTATTCAATTCTTTCAATTCATTCTACCTAAATCTTGAATCAGAATTTGATGAATTGGGCACAAGTATCTAAGATTTACAATGCTATATTCAAAATCACACAATCAATTTGTACGATGTACATCAAAGGGACACAACTCACCCAACCACAGCGTCCAATCGTAATTCATCATAATCCGGGTCTTTAACATTAGCGTTGATTTTATCTGATTCTGATAAACCTGGTTCTTCTGGCTGTAAGCTTAACTACAATTATAAAATTATTCACATGAATGGAGTTTTACATCCTATAATTAATTGATGTTTTATACCAAGAGACTCAACATAAAACACACAAACATCTATAGAAGTACGAAAAGAATCAATTTAAAATGATTTTAGGATTCTCTTTATCTGATTGGTCCATCATTATAATTGGTTTTGAATTTAGTTTAAATTATCCAATCATGTAACAGTATTTCTTGAAATCTAGATTTTTTCCAAGACAGAAGGCCCCTGTTCCTCGTTGGTTGTAAACTATATTTACAGATATACCAGTAAGAATAATTAATAGAAATATAAAATATACCTGATTTTCTCCAAGGTGAATATTACTAACAGATAAAGCTGTTATTATTTCATCTTTACCTTCACTATTCTATAATAATATACAACAATAACATCTAAAAATACTGTCATTTTCTACAGCACTCAAATAAGAATTAGCTTCCACAACATTTTATATATCAACGACAGCTTTTGTTATAGTGACGTCATTAAACTCTTTCATGAGCCACAGATATCTGACTGAAAATTGGAATAGTGCAAATTAATGATATACATTAAACCTCTTTACAATTCCTTTAAGTTCAATATGCAAAAAAACCAAACATACCCTTTCTGAGTTTCGAAGCTTATCTCTGGCTTCAAACATAGATTGAGGTCGTGCCTTGACAACTTGTAATTCATATTTCCCCTCTATTAACCCTTGACTTATTTCATCATTTTCATCTGCCGTGAACCCGTTTGGTACATTACCATCCTCAGATCCTCGCTCGCTTTTTACATCTCGTAATGACGCGTTTTCACGCAGTAGAGATTCAATCTGAAATTTTAAAATTTGATTTAATTAAAAATTTACTATCACAATTTTGAGAAATGTTTCATAGCACTATTTCAACTGAAAAAATTTCAGCATACTGGTAACCATCCTAATTTCTGTTGTCATCTCAAAAGGTAACTGTGAAATAAGTTTTTTTGAAACGGACAACTTGAGAGGGCAGATGACAGCAGAAAAAAAAATGTTCAAGGAACTTATTGTCATTGAGTAAAAGATTTCAAAATTCAGTGAATCCCTCTAAACCGACATCTCCAAACTAGCAGAATCACTCTGCAAAATATAATCCTCAATAAACAATAAACGGCAAATCAAAATCGAAATCAGATTCGGAATTGGCTAATCATTAGATAATTAACCTCTCTAAACTCTTTTAGGACATAAAATTCCATTCATTTCATTTCATTTAAACTTTTTTAAAATTAAAAGATAACATTATTCCCAATACTTACAGTGCTTTGCATTATGTGTACTTTTTGTTCTAAATCTGTCTTTTTATGAACTAATGTTTTGATGGTCGTTTCTGCCCCAGCCAATGCTTTCTTGACCTCCATATACTCATCCGTAGAGACAGGCCCCTCGATCGCTTCTGAATTCATACTCTGTTAACAAACAAAATAGTTAACAGTGAAATACTTTACAATACACCTGTTCAATGTCCTCAGACTAGTTTGCTTTTAATGTCATAACGTTAAAATTTGAAGCCATTTTCCAAAAATAATTTTCCTGATTTTATACCAGAAACATGTGTCAACATTTTGAGTGTTCTAAGTTGGAAGATTATCCAGAATTAGTCATTTCGTGCATTTGACAATTTTGAGTAAAATTAGATGAAACATATAATTCAAAACCTCAACCAAAAAATTTCCAACAAATCAAAAGAAAAGAAACGGAGTTCACTCCAAATCACAAAAAATAAAATAACTCCAACACCAGACTAAAAATATTATTTCTATGATAAAATTCCAGAGAGAATAAATAAATGATTTGTGTAATGACTTGAGTGTTTCTAATTTTATATATTTCTCCTACAAAATGAATTTCCTAAAGTTATAACACATTTAGATACAAATTTGAAATAAACATCCCTAAACAATGTCTTTTTATACTTTTTTAAATTAATATTTTTCTCGTGAATATTCAAGTTTTGAGTAAGAGTAAACTGTTTTGAATGATTTTTTTCTTTGCAAAGTCTTGAGGCATGCTGATAATATTAGTAGTTGGACAGGGAATGCTTTTTAGTTAGTTAATGTCGAGAGGGGGGGGGGGGGGGGGGGGGG